TTGTGTTTTTTTATTATTATCTCTATAACTTACCATTTCTTTTTTACTTTTCAGGTGGGACGCTGTTCACATAATTCAATAATATTTACCTAAACTTTATAACATTTAATTATAAATTTAAAATTATTATTATATATTAACTTTAGATTATTATTAAAAAAATATAAATTTTAAATCTTAATTCCGTCTGGTCCCAATCTTTTATGAGTATTCAACAAAGGTGTCCCCTTGACTTCTATCAATAAAATAAAATAACAACAATCAAGCAGTGTGAAAGGCAGAACATTTTGGCTTTGTTAAGATGGGTATCACTATCTTAAGGAAACTTCCTTTAACAATAATTTATTAACCAATCAACATTTGACATTTGGAATATTCATTTACAAATTAGTAATTTAAATTCTTGTATTTCCTATCTAATTCGACAGAAAAATCATGTTTTTCGCAAGAGTTTAAATTTTATTCGTTCATAATATAAAAAATTATGATTAGTTACACTAATATATATATATATATCAAATTTAAAGTTTATGTATTTATTTTTATGAAGTTGAAAAAAGACAAGTTTTTTTGTTGAACTTTTTTATTTACGCTTTTAATGAAGAAAAAAAAAATATTTGCTTGAAATATAAATATATATTTGAAACTCTTAAATATAAAATAATACAAATTATTTAATAATGAAATAAGCATCCTAATGAGACAGTAGACATAGGTGGATGGATAAACTTAGCATATATTTTTTTTAAAGATTACAATATTATTACTTTGACTATGCATTTTTTAATTATGAAAATTTTGTATATTACATTTAAAATACACCAATTAAGTTTGAAAAGAAATTAAGAAATCGACCATAGAATATTCTTTACAATTAAATAAGTTGACTTTCTTCCAAACTTATCTTTTGGGCCAAATGTAGCAAAATAGAAACACTCAAAATAAATAAACTAATTAATAAACATCATGAAACAAATAATAATACAACGTATATTATACTAAAAAAAAATTTAAAAAAATTGGACCAGACCTCATGTTCATAGTCGTCCACTAAGTTCAATAAAACTTATCAATATTGGAAAAATTAATTATTATTTTTACTTTCACTCGGTGTATAATATCTGTATTGAAAATTTGATTAAATTATTATTCACATGTTACATAATACTGGATATTCAATATATGTATTGAAGTTTAACTAAATTAAGATTCACGTATTACATGTAGAACTTATTTTTGGAGGCAGTGCTTTCAACTGGATATTTTTATCTTAAAAACTCAAACTAAAATCTTTGATTAAAAATAAAAAGATTTGGACCCATCCACCATAATTCATATTGATAATTTAAATTGATTTGCCACTCAGATCCAACAAATATCTAATGGTTTTTATTGTGGAAGACAAAAACAGCACCAAGGAGGAAAATATCATCATATTCCATGGTTAATGGCACTCAATATGTGGTTAAAAAATTTTATGCACTCAATATTATTTAATGGGTACTATGTTCAATAAGAATATTAGAAGAATAAAGAAAATAGAAATTGTAAATGTATTAAATAAATATTCCAGGCTATAGAATTTAGAAAATTACTCATGTGATTAAAGTTATTACATATTTTTATTAAAATTTAGAAGGGTGACTGAGCTGGTACAACAAGTGATATCTCATTAGGAAGGTCAGAGATTATTTTTTCCTACCAACGTCTTCTCAATCTAGCCTGTTGCACTGAACTTGCCAATTGCGATTTACAACTTTTACGTAATTTACAAGTTATTAGATTTATCCAACATTCTTAAAAGACTAATAAATTGACTTGGAGACAAAGAACTCATCTAGTAAATTCCAACAATAATAAGTCATCCGCTAAAAGTTCCAATAAATTTAAGAGATCCTTTTATTGAAAATTCATTTGCCACTAATTATAGCAAAATCAAATGTTTCTTTAGCGGTTTTACTTGGTGGAAGATAAAATTAGCACTAATTAAGTAAGAAAATATCACTATCTACAATGGTTGTTGATAATCTTCTTGCTATTACATGGGAAGAAAATGGAAGACTTTAATCATGGGCAAAATCAGAATTTAAAATTTCATCGTTTTATTAATTGGAATAAATATTTATATATTTCTAGTGAACTTCTTATTCGATTATAAAAATTAAGAAAAAAAAATTAAATTTATCTAAACTCATACTTAATATTATAGCTTCGCCCTCGATTTTAACCAAGGAAACAATTCCAAAATTCATTTGTGATCTTAAAAATCTCACCTTTCTTGATTTTAACCATAATCTCATCCCTGGAAACTTCCCTGATATTTACAATTGTTCAAATCTTGAATTCTTAGACCTTTCTTATAACTACATGGATGATAATATCTATATTGAAATTCGATTAAATTATGATTTGCATGTTATCGGGTACTTGATATTCAATATTTGTATTAAAATTTAATTCAATTAAGATTCATGTATTACATGTAAAACTTATTTTGATGGCAGCCTGGATATTTTTTATTTTAGAGACTTATATTAAAATCTCTGATTAAAAATGAAAGAAATTTAAACCATACACCACAATCGATATTGGTATTGAAAATTCATTTGCCACTAAGTTCCAACAAACTTTTCTCTAGTATTTTTTACTGTGAATGATAAGATAAAAGCAGCACCAAGGAGGAAAATATCACCATATTCCATGATTAATGACACTCAATCTGTGGTTAAAATTTTTTATGCACTTGTGATTAATGTTATTAAATATTTTTATTAAAATTCGTAAGAGTGATTGAATTGGTGCAACAGGTAATATCTCATTATGGAGGCTAGTGATTGATTTTTTCTACTTATCAAGTGTGATTTATGTCTTTTATGTGATTTACGAGTCATTGCACATGAACGAATTTACCCAACATCTGAAAGGTAATGGTTGAGGATTTCGATGAAAGTTCCAAAATAAATAAAAAAGATATTAAAGAGTGTATAAAAATCATAAAAGACTAATAAAATGACTTGGAGACAAACAACTCATCTAATAAATTCCAACAATAATAAGTCATCCACTAAAAGTTCCAACAAATTTAAGAGATCCTTAAAATTCATTTGCCACAAATTATAGCAAAATCAAATGTTTCTTTAGTGGTTTTACTTGGTGGAAGATAAAATTAGCACTAATTAAGAAAGAAAAATATCATCATCTACCATGGTTGTTAATAATCATTTTGCTAAATTACATGGGAAGAAAATGGAAGACTTTCACTAGTGATAGAATTAGATTTTGAAATTTATTGAATTTTTAGCTAGTTTTATTTATTGGAATAAATATTTATATATTTTTGTGAACTTCTTATTCAAATATAAAAATTAAGAAAAAAATTATTAAATTTATCTGAACTCGTACTTAATACTATACCTTCGCCCTCGATTTTAACGAAGGAAAGAAATGGTCCTAACTATCCCATCTTTGATTTATTAACACAACTAAATTGAGAAAAGTATTTAACCTTTGAATTTAAAAACTTTGCCAGTTTAAGACGCAATTGTCTGGCTTTTCTTCTCGAAGGAAAACAAAAATGAATAAATAAAGGCTTTAATTAAGTTATATATTTCAAATTTTGTCGGACTTCAAAGAACTCATGATTGGAAAACTATAACTATAGTGAAAGTATACGAGAATCATATACTGTTTACTTGAATAATAGATAACACATACGTTATGTTAGAATATTTACAATCCCGCTAGAACATAAATTTATTGAATTTAATTCGATAAATACCTCTTAAAGCGTGAACAAATACCTCAAGTGCTCCACAAGGTAGACTGTAGTTCAAATCCTATTAAACATAAGTTTAAAAATACTAAAGACATTTTTTAAAAAAATCAGTCCATTCAAAGAATAAATTGTGCAATTAAATAGAGATATTTGCCTAATCCAATTTTAAGAAAGAAATCATTTGACAAGTCATTTCAAGTTGCATTAGTTAAATCATGATTACATAACTAACCATAGTTTGCCACAACTGTCATTTCAATGGTGGTGGGACCCTAACTTTGCATTTTTTTACTTTCAACTTATTCTATCCGTTCAATTTTAATCTAATCCATTAGTTAATTCCCTATTACATAAGGACATGATGAAACGGTAAAAATTTCTTCACCTTAACTAAAAGTCTCGCGTAGAACCTTCATAGTATACTTTCCTACTACACAAATCCAAATCAATTAGATCAAGTGAATTTTAGACACCGAATAATTGAAATTTAATCAATCATCATGTTCCACAAACTTAATTTCAATGGGGGGATGAGGCCCAACCTTACACCTTTCCCTTTAACTTATTTTATCCATCCAATTTCAATCCAATCTATCAGTCAACACAATCAATCAATATTACTAAAAGGCACGGTAAAATGATAAAAAATACTTCATCTTAACTAAAAGTCTCATGTAAAACCTTCATAGTATACCTTTCTACAACACCAAACCCAAATTAATCAGATAACGTAAAACTTTTAGGAATCGTTTGGTTGGAAATAAATTATTCTGGAATTGATTATTTCCGAATAAGTTATTCATTCCACCTTGTATATAAAATAACGTATTTCATCATTACGACATAAATGGTGGAATAAATAATCTCAAAACTGCCTAATATCTCCAACTAAAAACACGATTATTATTACTTATACCTTACAGACTCACACCAAACAACTTCTCATATTATACTTTTCTGTAACACAAATCTAAATTAATCAGATCAGTAAGTTCCGAACACCGAATACTAGTGGAGTTTTTAAGAAAGAAGGAAAAAGTTGAGTCAACTAACTAATAAAGAACTAGAAGAAAAAAAGAAGAAGAAAAAGTCTATAAAAACCAAAGTTGACCAGTATGAGTTTTCACGTTTAATCTCACCATACCACAATTATACCTTCATCTTCTCAGTTTTTTTTTTACCAAATGTTCATACAAACTTAGAAAAAATCACCAAAAAAAATGTCCAAAATTATTTTTTCACTTTTCATTTTTCTGTTTTTCATCATTTCTCATGGAAAATCCCAAGAATCTCCAAATCAAGAAAAGGCCATTTTACTCCAACTAAAACAACACTGGTTTACTTCACCAAATGTCACAAAATGGATTTCATCATCAAATCATTGTTCTTGGGATGGAATAATTTGTACCCAAAATTTAGTTTCTGGTATTCAAATCCCTTATGGAAATATCTCAAAACCAATCCCAAATTTCATTTGTGATCTTAAAAATCTCACCTTTCTTGATTTTAGCTATAATTTCATCCCTGGAAACTTCCCTGATATCTACAGTTGTTCAAATCTTGAATTCTTAGACCTTTCTTATAACTACATGGCTGGTAATCTCCCTGATGAGATTAACCGTCTTTCGAGTAATCTAAAATACCTAAACTTAACTTCCAACAACTTCAATGGTGATATCCCTAAAGGAATTGGTGGATTGAGTCAGCTCAAAGTACTTGACCTGAGGGGGAATATGTTTGATGGATCTTTTCCTGAAGAGATTGGTGAATTGTTGAATCTTGAAGCACTTATGTTGAGCTCGAATGGTTTTACTCCACAGGCTATACCATCACGATTCACAAAGTTGAAAAATTTGAAAAATTTTTGGATGACAGAAGCACATTTGATTGGAAATATCCCGGAATATATTGGTAACATGACAAGTCTTGAATTTTTGGATTTGTCGAACAATGGATTGAGTGGTAGTATCCCTGATGGTTTGTTTCATCTCAAGAATTTGAGTACTGTGTTTTTATATACTAACAAATTGTCAGGGGAAATACCACAGTCAGTTTCTGCAATGAATTTGTATGTTGTTGATTTGTGTAACAACAGTTTGACAGGAAAAATACCAGAAGATTTTGGAAAATTGACGAAAATGACTGGATTGTCTTTGTTTTTCAATCAATTATCAGGTGAAATACCATTGAGTATAGGCAAGTTATCATCATTGGTATCTGTTAAGTTGTTTGGGAACAAGTTATCAGGTGAAATTCCACCTGATTTTGGTCGATTTTCGAAACTTTTTGACTTCCAAGTTTCAGAAAATCAACTTGTTGGAAAGTTACCTGAGGGTATTTGCAATAACAAGGCTTTAGCTACGATGGTTGCTTTTGGCAACAATCTAACAGGTGCACTGCCAGGTTCACTTGGAAGTTGTGACAGTCTGAGGTCTCTTCGAGTCGAAAATAACCGACTTTCTGGTGAGGTTCCTGATGGATTATGGACAGGTAAGAGTTTGTCAATGCTTTTGATGAATGATAACTTGTTAACTGGTCAGCTTCCACATAGAGTGGCATCAAATTTGTCAAAAGTTGATATCAGCAATAACAAGTTTTCGGGCGAATTACCAGCTGGTATGGGTACTTGGCACAATCTAAGTGAGTTCAAGGCAAGTAATAATCTCTTAAGTGGTCAAATCCCTCAAGAATTGACTCTTCTTCCAGGGATAACTAAACTTTTTCTTGATGGTAATCTACTATCTGGAAATTTTCCATCGAATATATCGTCGTGGAAGACTCTTGTCACATTAAATAGCAGAAAAAATCAGCTTTCAGGTCCTATACCTTCTGCACTTGGCCTTTTACCAAATCTCATTGATTTGGACTTGTCAAGTAACCAATTTTCAGGTGTTATTCCAACTGAATTAGGTAACTTGAGGTTAACTTCACTTAACCTGTCATCCAATCGCCTGTCGGGTGAAATCCCATCTCAGTTGGAAAATGCAGCTTTTGGTAAGAGCTTCTCGGATAATCCTGGTCTTTGTGCAAGTAATCCATCAGTAGAAGTCGCGTCTTGCAAGAGGGAAACTAATTCAGATAAGTTTCCTGTTGGACTTGTTGCTGCTCTTGCTAGTGTAGCAGCAGTTACTTTCCTTGTGGCAGTTCTGTATGGTCTGTTTGTGTTGAGAAGTCATAGAAAAAGAAAACAAGAATCAGTTTCGACATGGAAACAAACATCATTTCACAAATTAGACTTCACAGAATCAGACATTGTATCCAATCTGACCGAAAACAACATAATTGGAAGTGGAGGATCGGGACAGGTCTACCTCGTGCCTTTAAGCCAATCAGGTGACTATGTTGCTGTCAAGAGGATTTGGAGAAACCAAAGGTTGGATCACAAGCATGAGAAACAGTTTCTTGCTGAAGTTCAGATATTAGGCACGATTCGACACACCAATATAGTGAAACTCCTCTGCTGCATCTTCAGTGAAGAGTCGAAACTTCTTGTCTACGAATATATGGAGAATAGGAGCTTGGATATATGGCTTCACTCAAAGAATAGGTTGAACAATGCCTCAAGATCAACACCACATCTGGTCTTGGAATGGCCTAGGAGGCTGCAAATCGCGATAGGAGCTGCCCGTGGTCTTTGCTACATGCACCACGACTGCTCACCACCTATTATTCATCGCGATGTGAAGTCAAGCAACATCCTATTGGATTCTCAATTCAATGCAAAAATTGCAGATTTTGGCCTTGCCAGGATGTTACTCAAGCCTGGAGATAACACAGTGACAGCAGTAGCTGGCTCTTTCGGATACATTGCACCAGGTATAAGACCATCAACTTATCTATAACATCATTATAAAGTTTAGAAGTTGGTTTAATCTCTTACATGGAAAAAAGTTTCCTATGCTACACAATTCAATAACATATCAAGGGGTCGTTTGGTTCACGTACTAGTTATGCATGAGTTGTAACACGGGTTGTTTATGTAGTAAATAGTAATGTAGATATTAGTACGCGAGTAGTTATTCTTAGTACACTAATTCTCGCGTAACTTCTATATATGCTAATATATTCATGATGATATTTCAGAGTATGCACGAAAAACTAGAGTGACCGAGAAAATTGATGTGTATAGCTTTGGAGTCATACTTTTGGAACTGGTGACTGGAAAAGAAGCCAATCTTGGAGATGAAGATTCATGTCTTGCAGACTGGGCATGGCGCCACCTTCAAAAAGGGAAACCGATGGCTGATGCATTAGATGAGGACATCAAAGAAACGCGATACTTGGAAGAAATCTTCGTTGTGTTTAAGCTTGGAATCTTTTGCACCAGCACATTTCCTTCATCAAGGCCAACAATGAAGGAAGTTCTGCAAATCTTGATCCAATGTAGCAACGGTTCACCTACATCTGGAGAAAAGAAAAATGAAACAGAACAGGATGTTTTGCCACTCCTCAAGAACTCAAGGAGTGAGAGGATTGAAGAAAATGATGATGTTGGTTTAACATCAATTATTTGATGGCATTACAATATGATTAGAGTGAAGGAGAGCCTTGACGTAACTAGTAAAGTTGTTGTGGAAATAGTCTCTCGCAAAAATGCAGGGTAAGGTTATGTACAATAGATTCTTGTGGTCCGGTCCTTCCCAGGACCTTGCGCATAGTGAAAGTTTGTGCACCGGGCAGCCTTTTTTTAACAATATGATAAGAGTAAGAAATAGCAAAGAATAAGACCAATAGATAATGTATCAGGTAGTGAAAACTAGCATTGTACATACACTGTATTGGATCCATAGTGTTGCTTTGCATTGTTTTGCTACATAAATTTTGCTTTTCCAATGTTTTCTTTACTCATAAAATAACTGTCAAAAAGGTACATTAAAACCATAAACTATTGAATGGAGGATAGATTTCCTAAAAATCCCGAAAAATAGAAACAAGCTTGAACTACCTCAGTACTTTAACTTTTGGCAACCATAAACAACACATCCGATGTAATCCCACGAGTCCCAAACTTTTGGCAACAATACAACAACATATCTGATTTAATCCCACAAGTGGCTCTGGGGAGGGTAGAGTGTATGCAAATCCTACCCTATCTCGTAGAGATAGAGAGGTTGTTTCCGATAGTAACTTTTTGGCAACAATAAATCTTGTAAAGGTCACCTACTAGAAGAACTTTATTTGTATCCTAGCTTTATTTCTGGCTAGTGAGGAAAAAATTTAAGTTTACACTGGGGATAAAGATGATCCCTAGAGGCACCAGGAGTGAAAAGGTCAGCATATTGATGTTTAGCTGAAGAGAGATGTGCTCATTTGGTACATTGAACTATGGCTCACTTCAAAGCTCACTCTTGCATGACGCGGTGCACAAGGAAGCAAGAAATATTTCAATCATCTTGGAGAAGAAAGTAAGAAGAGGGTTCTCTTTAGCAAGAAGAGGGGTGATTGTAAACGTACAAACTTTGACTAGCTAGGCACTTTTGTTTGTGTCACTCTGACCATGATCATGATTCCTCGAGATCTGTGTATTGGGAATGCGAGGCAGCCAAAAGTGCAGCTCCAACGCCTGAACCATCATTAGAAAGCTCAATGACTATGCTGTCCGCAGCGTCTCCCAGTAACTCTTTCATAGTTTCCTCCAAGCAATTTCTGAACTTGGTGTAACGCTCAAACAATGCACCGTCCACAGCTATGACAGACCTCTGGTTCTCTCCGTCCTTCAAAGTGTCTTTTCCCAATTTCTTGAGGATGCCCACGATTCCTGCTGCAGAAAGACGAGCTCCACGAGAGGTGATAATGTCGCATAGCTCCACAACTATTTTCCTCATTTTCAAGGTAGAATTAGGTACCTGTGAAAAAAATGTATATATAGCAAATAGGATGAGAAAGACGTTCTCCACTTAATTAAGCCTAGCCAACTTAGTGATGTTCAGACAGGAGCTAGGAATTTGAGTTTATGGGTTCCGGATAAATTATTTACACATATTAAGTGGGGTTTTTAGTACAAATACAAAGCTACTGGTTTTTTGTCCTATCATATATAGGACAAAAAAGATGAGAACTTCAAAGACTAGTAATGTTTCACTTTAAGTCAAATGTTTGATCTTAATACCTCTAAGATATCCTTCAGTTTATTGCCAACCACCTTGAGATCAGCCGACTCGTCGTGATGCATAGCAGCCATATCCGGAGTCCTGCATGTGTGGCAGTAAATAACCTTTTTCACAATATTTGACAATTCAAAGCTTACATATGCTTAATAAACGTACACGAATCTAGTCCAACGAGAAGCATAACTTACAGTGTAAGAGATTAGTGCAATTACATAAACCTTAAGTTGCACTAATTGCATGGAGAAGAATAAGGTTAAAATTGATGAATGCAGATAGGGCCTGCCAAAAAATAAATTACTGCCGTAATAAATGTGTTGGTCAAAGCAATACTCTACCTCAATATGAAAGGAATTTTCAGTTTGGATGGGACATAATCACCGAATAATGAAGCTTCTTCAGCCATTCTACACAATACTCTACGCAAAATTTCTCCAAGATACATCCCGGAGATCATCTTTTCATAAATCTGTGCAGTTTCCGAAAGTTCAACAACAGATGTAAGATAGAAAATGTAGAAAGGAAGGGGATTGTCTTAGTTACCTGCTCCCCGGGGTTTAAACTCTCAACATCAAGATTTTGGTCATATTCTGTTACTGGAAGATGTGATGAGCGGAAATTACCCCATTCCAAGTTGATAACCTTTAAAGACCAGTCAAAATTACGTTTAAGTAAACAAACGTTTATGAATCTACCAAGGAAAATATTTTTAGGAAATGAATTAGGCACATATCAAGTCATGAAGGTGTTATGAAATGTCATAAGCATCTACCATCTCTCCGGATTTCGGCAACAGGCCATGCCATTTGGGAATCGCATGTGCCCGCTCAACATATGCTGCATTGGTTCCAGTACCCAGTATTAATGCAGCAATGACATCGGGATTATTGTACCGACCTCCTGCTAACGTTCCAACAGTATCATTGACCTATACAGCCAAGTCAACTAAGAAATTCAGGCTCAGGAATTGCTTAAGATTAAAAATCAGAAATATCACACATGCAAAAACCTAATACATGAACATCATCAGCTTACTTATATTTTATTGAATTTGATTGGGAGAAAAGCTTACTAAAGCAGCCACACGCACATCAAGGCCGGCCCTTTCCATTGCTTTTGCTAATTCTCCAACCACATCTTGGCCAACCTATGTTAGATTCCATGAAGAGTAGTTCAGAATTGAAATACAATAAAACGTTGGAAAAGGAACTCTTAATAACGTACTTTAAATCAAATCGGTGCAAATGCAATGAAACAATGATCAACTTTGCATGTATAAAGTTGTATGCATTAAATCCTTATCAATGCCAACCTATGTTAGGCCATGAAGAGTAGTTCATCATTGAAATACAACATAACGTTGGAAAAGGAAATTCTATAACGTATTTTAAATCAACTCAGTGAAAAAGCAATGAAATATACGTTGTCGGACTCTCCAATAATATTACCGCACCTGTGTCAGATCCTTCAAAATGTACTGCTTTTGAAGGATCCTACATGCACCTGGCGACATCTTTGAAGAGTCCAAGCAACATAGATGAAATAATCATCAACTTTGCATGCATAAAGTTGTATGTATTAAATCATAATCAATGCAAAACCGTACATTGAAATGGATGGACTAAATCTAAGGTTGATTGTAGGCATGACATGATCAATCGGAAGTGAAAATGAGAAACTATGTATGACTAACCACGTCTTCTATGGAGAAGCCCTTTGTCCATTTAATAAGAGTTCCTGATGCAATTGACAATTGTTTCACAGGGAAAGAGAAGGTAAAGCCTAACTCCCTTTGTCTACCAGGTGGAAGATGAAAATCATCACCTTCTGTAGCTACAAATTCTGCAAGTGCCGTGGCAATAAAATCAAATAACACCTGCAATTAACAGTTTAATAATGTGAGTACAACCTTGAATGAATTAAAAAAGTTGCATTGCATGGCTGATACAGCTTAAGACTTACTTCAGATGACGATCCAGCCATCACATTCTGTGGAATTGAAACTTCTTTAACTTCATGTTTAACTATACGCTTTTCTTTCCCACCCAACTGCACACGCATCACACGAAAGTTTGTGCCGCCTAGATCCAATGCATAAAACAGACCTTCTTCATCCCTAAGATGGAATAAAAGTAATACCAGTCGTTAAACTGAAGTAAATATACAAGACATACATGGAAAACATACCCCACCCCTAATGCACTACAGAGGTCTATTGGCAGCAGCTTTTGAAAATTTGTCGATACACGTAATATTTATACCCAATTTTAGTAAGTTTATCACAAGAACTTGGAAATGTTACCAAGTCCCTGCCTCCGCCTGAGTAGTGGGTATAGGTATGCCATTTTTAAACTTAGACAATGTCAAACTGATTCATATGTCATATATTCTTTTCTTATGGATCTAACTTCATGATGTTGAACACAGAGATGAGAGTATCAAGACAGAGACAGAAAATACTTGTCTAGAAATGTCTGTGTAGACACATAAAAGTATGCACACTAACAAATAATGAGCAGACAGAAGAAGATAGAACTGAAAAATTTACACGCATGATAAGTGTTAAAGAATGGAACTGGCAATGTAAAATTCAAAAAAGGTGGTCAAGATACAAAACAGTAGAAGAGAATAGAGAATAAACATCAAACTTAGGATCCTTAGATAACGAGTGACTTGATCACTTGTCAGTTAGAAACTTCTTAGTGGACTCTAAGTTCAACAAATACTTCAAATAATAGAGTTTCATTTTTGCTCTTTGTGATTTATAACGATGCTCAAGATAATCACCTTAAGGACATCAAAAAAGAGAAATTCTTGATACCCAAATTAGCAAAAATCAGTTTGTGCACATATACACACAAATACTCATCCAATGCGGAGGCTATCAACTTAGCTAATAAGCATCTTAAGTTTTCCAATGAATCATTAGTAAAAAACACAATCTGATATAACTCTCCACCACAGAAGCTAAAATCAAGAGACAACACTACCAAGATCACAGCTTTATTGAAAAAAGAGACAAATTCTTGACACCCAAATGAGCAAAAATCAGTTTATACACACAAAAATACTCGCCCAGTCAGATGGTTATCAACTTAGGTAATAACCATCTTGAGTATGTTGATGAATCAATTGTAAAAACACAAAAAAAGAACTGACATAACTCCAACCCAGAAGCTAAATTAAAGAGACAACACCTCCAACCGAGGTGAAGCTAAAATTTGATGTTTATAGGTTCTGAACTTGTCGAGAAAAAGCTATTAGGTTCATCCGAACCCGTATCTAATATGTAGCTCCACCCCTGCCTCCAAGATCACAACTTTACTAAAAAGAGACAAATTCTTGAACACCCAAAATAAGCAAAAGACAGTTTATGCACATTCTTAAACACCCAAATTAGCAAAAAACAGTTTATCCACATTCTTAAACACCCAAATAAGCATAAAAACAGATTATCCACATTCTCAAACACCCAAATAACCCCAAAAAAAAACAGTTTATGCACATTCTTGAACACCCAAATAAGCAAAAAAAAGTTTATCCACACTCTTAAACACCCAAATAAGCAAAAAAACAGTTTATCCACATTCTTAAACACCCAAATAAGCCAAAAAAAAAAAAAAAACAGTTTATGCACACTCTTGAACACCCAAATAAGCAAAACAGTTTTTGCACATTCTTGAACACCCAAGCAAGCAAAAACCAGTTTATG